CCGTACGATTTGACGTTCCAAAGCGTCAATTACTGTAATTTCATCCACAGGTGTTCTTTTATTACAAGTAGCGCTTCTTTTTCAACAAAGGACGCTAATTCGAGCCGGAGCGATTAACGTCGTTCCGAGAAAAATCGTCGCGAATCGCTATCGCCGTATTTTGCTGTTCACGTCTCGCGAGACTTGCGGTATTATTAAGGAAAATAATTCATTACTACACGAGGTGTCTTTAGAAGAATTCAATACACTTCGATTCTCTGTGGGATGGACTTTAATTTTAACCCTTTGCAACACTCGTACGCGTAGATCTTCCTTGAAATCATACAACGTTTGCTTCGTATACTATTCCGTGTAATCAACAGCTTACGAGTAATTTCAAGTTGTCGTTTAATGGAATCACTCGATTCCTTTGCGTCCATTATACTTCCAGTTCACACGAAAACAAAGTCTGTATAGCAAAAAAATTATAGGTTTATCTGCAGACAATTGAACCTTAAAAACTTCGAAAAAAGTGTACTATAATCATCGTAAAAGCATCTGAACCATATTATGTAATGTTAAAAAAATTTTGATTGGTCCACTAACAACAGAGTAATCTAAAGTGATTATGATCAGCCTGTATAAGATAGAATGTCTAACTTCTAAACCCTTTTACCGATCTGGACCAAATTTTCTATAGTTAGTCTCTAGGACCTTTCGAAAAATATAGGTTTCCATGAAACCAGGACACTCTACCCCCTGATTGTATCACATAAAAAAATTCTACATCATACATATAGAAAAGATAAATTCATTCGAATATGCTATCATTTAATTCTCACATTTCTACAAATCCTGAGTAGTTTAACCCTTTAAATCCGAGTGAGATTCCAGAGTCCAGATTCTAGTGTTAAAAAATAACCAAAGGTTCGAACCTACCCTGCATTCAAACACCTATCACACCAAAAACAAAACCTTCGAAAACTACGTAGATGGCAAGCAGAGGCGCCTGTAAAACACAGCGAGGAATCCTATAAACTTAACCCTTTCTCGTCGCGCATCATCCACGCGGGATTGCGTCGCGTTTTCGACGGGATTCGCTCGCTCGCTGGTTCGCTCGCGCGAATTTTTTTACGATGCACCTGCGCTACCTGGGTATCGAATGTTGGCCAGTTGCGCATCGCGATTGTGGTCTTCGGGAAAAACTCGTCGAACCGGTCACGCGTAAAATATCACGGAGACCCTCTGACAAGAGTACCAAAGGAGCGGCAAAGTGGCCGCAACAGCACGAGGTTGCGGTCACGCCGGGTCCTCCACTCGCGATTAATCCTCCTTTTGCTAAGTATCGTGTGCGTAGAAACGTTTTGCGCTCACGACCAACGCGAGCGCGCGTTTCACATTCCGCCGGTATCCTATTAAACAATTTCATCCGCGGCCAGAGACGAACACACGCTTCTAACTTTACGACCTTTTCATAGCGCCCGCGCGCGCGGATTACGGGCGGGGAATGAAATTTTAGAGGAAAAGTTGAGAGACATGGGGTACCTACCGGGAGCCACGTGCGGCAGTTCTGCGTTTACTTTAATCTTCTTAATTCCCTGTCTTAACGTTCGTGCAAAAATTTTCGCTTCTTCAATTAACTCGAAGGTTATTTTTACGTCGGCTTTAATCTCGTATCAGCGAGGTAGTTTTAGCCGTTCTCGTATCATTGTAAAAGCATTTCTCGATAAAACGTACGAATTTTTGTTTATCTGCAATACCGGTGAGTCAGCTCGATGAATCGTTATGACTACGCGTGTCTTATCGGACAATCGTGCTTTCAGGATTACAAGAGATTTTTCGGTTGGAATTCTATTTTGTTGTTAATTGTATATTCTTCGGTTAGACTGGTTTTTCTAGGTATCGTGTTTTAGACGGTTGGAAAAATGAACGTTGACACGTGAGAAAGGCGGAAAGCAAGTGCGTGACAACTGAATGATATAAACGAAAGGGACCGTATCGTGGTATGTCATCGTGCAAGCAATAATTCAGCATCGCGTAGATTAAGTTTGCACGAAACGAGTCAGACAAGTGAAACAAACGACTGCGTGGATGATAAAGCGAATATCAAAAGTCAAACTCCGATTAAACGTTATTATGGCAAATTAACGTATTATCTCGTTACGTAAATTCTCACATCTGATCTTCAACTTATGAGCTGTAAACGACAGCGGTACTTACTTCCACTAGCTTTTATATTCACTGTACAGTTCACAGTTTCATGACGAGCTAATTTAATCTCCATATGCATACACAGTACTGTATTTAATTAATGGAAGTGTAAAACTGCGTCTACTTTAAAATTCGACTAATTTCATTTATAATATTCTATCATGCAAGCATGAAAGAAAAACACTATACAATTTTCCAAGATTCTACCTCAAGATCCGCATAATACTGCCTAGCATAAGCTCCGTACGAAGTAAAAGAAAACGCGAAGTGACGCTGAAGAAACGAACAGGAGAACCATAAAATCGAAGTTAAAGCAACACCGACTGTAACATATTGCACTCCTGTTGGCCTCTACGATCATAATATAGAGGAATGCTGGTATTCGTGATAATAATACACAGCCTCCTGATTATCGTGCTGTCAGAAGAATCCTCAGGGTCGCTTGAGTTACGTTGTAATGATGGCGAACCGGCGAACCGGTTGTGGCCATGGTCCTGCCACTGCACTTATTTGGCCCCTAACCCGATCCCAACAGACAAAAGCAACAAGAAAGAAAAAAAGCACACGAAGGAACCCACAAAACTGAACCACACACCTGGCACCAAGGATGAAAGTGCGAACTGTACGAGAGCCGGAGCATCGAGAACCGCACGCCATCGAGAGAACACCAACACGAATTTCGTAATTTACGAAACAGCCCGTGGAAGATCCTGTAATGGGCGCTGATCGAGCGGGGGGCACGCGTTTCCTCGCACGAGGCGAAAAGGTGAGAAGGATCTCGCGAACATCAACGCCCTTTGCATTTTGAAAATTGGGAGAAAAGAAGGTTCAAGTTTAGGAATTAACTAGGTTTGACGTTTGGAGCGATAGTTTTCAGACTCGAAGAAGGTACTGACGTTTCATACACATATTTTTTAAAGTAAGACTGCTATAACTTTGAGATAAAATACAAAATTAAATTAAGCGTTTTTACTTTTTATTTTTGAAGTGTGAATAAAGTATGCATGGCAAAACAAATATAGTTATCATGAAAATGATCACCGTTCATTCATAAAGAAATTAATTTTTACGCACACCTTGGTAATTAATTATTAAAAGAAGATAATGATCTATTCTCAGGAAGATTTCAATATCGTACACCTATACCTTTCATTTCTTACACCTTCGCAGCAGAAAATAATCATCACACATCTAACGATATCCTACAATTTGCACTCAAGATCTTAACGAGAAGAAAAATACCATTTACTCCTTTCTCTCTATCCGACCTTTCAATTCTACGCATCCTTTCACGAGCCCGCTAGACAGACACCGGCATCCCGCGAATTCTGTTTTCTCCGCGAAAACGCGTCCATTGTGAACGTACAATAGGTGAGAGACACTCGTGCCGTTCCACTTTCAAAGAAATCATCCCGACGTGTCTTACGCCTATAAATTCAACGATAAATCTATCAGGGCCAAATACTGACCGATATTGTGCCCGTGGCCATTTGCCAACGACAGCCTCGAGGCTTCTCTTCTGCATCTCTTGTTGCATTATGCAGTCGAACTGCGAGGCTGCATTTCTCTGTCCCCTTCCGTCTAGCATACTCGATCCTCCTCCTACTCTCCACGGATAAATATGTCGGACGGAGCATGATTTATTCGTGCAGAACTATTTTCGTCACTGGTCGCCGAGTCGTTACTGCGACCGGAGAACGAAATCCTCCGGTCGTGGTGTCAGGGTCAAGGGTTCTTTAGCGTTATATTCTGCTCGGTGAACGAGCGAGAGGATGCACTGCACACAAGGGATTCAATTGCTACCGCTCTCTTCTTATAATTGGATCGGTACGTTTCGAAAGGGATCGTCTACGGTTTTTCGAAATGATATAGGAGACTGAGGAAACTGATTTATTTCCTGTGTAGTGAAGCAATGATTTTGAAGTCAAGCTTCAATCGTTAACTTCAGAACAATAGTAGTTGGAGACGAGTTTGAATATTTATTTCACTATCGCAACTACGAGGAGAATTTTGGAAGCACCAATCTTCGAGTGTCTTCAGTTGACAGTAAAGTGTCTTAAAAAAATTTATTAATTAAATAAAGATTCAATTTTTCCTTCGTCCATCCACGTTATTTTAACTCTGAACCAGACATTGCTACGCATTACTGAAATGCGCAATTTGAAGAATGCAATTAGAGTGTAATAAATATTAAAAGAACGCAAGTTACTCACATCGTAATGATTTATTTCATCCTCGACGAAGGACGCTCTTAATGAAATGAAAAAGTCGCGTGTCAAGCCAATGTCACGGCCAATCCGCAGGACAACGCCTACAATGTTCCTGGATACTAAATTCCCAAATGGGTGCGGGCGTAAAGAGAATTAAAAACGAGACCCGCTAGCTACTGTCCCTTCTGGTATTCAGTATGAACTCGTGAATCAACAAAGACGCATTGCTCTTTTTTCCCAAATAACCAGTCGCGAGTGACGTAACACGAAAAATCTCTCGATCCTCGAACACAGATGTGACGACGCGGATCAAGTGCTAATTGAACCAAGTTAAAACTCGAAAAAACCGATCGGGATACCAAAAAGACACAAATTTAACGTCTCAACCTCTGCACTCGGGCAATAATTCAACGTTTCCTTTCATCAACACGATCGTTATAAACAGCAATTTATCACGAAAAACTTAAACAGCGATTTATCATGAAAAATTTAAACACACCAATTACTCTACAAAATTCGTCAAATTTTACATTTTACAGTTTTTTAAAGCGTGAATTGTCGGAATGAACGATCATGTCAGCACAACTGACGAGATAACACATGAAGGAACAAATGGAATTTGGAGAACTGAAGAAAAGTTTCACGAACATGGAGGTTTCGTTTCCAATCTTTCCTACGACACCGCCAAAGTCGACCAGTCCAACGAAAATCAACTTCATCACGTCGAGTATTCCGCTATCCGACGCAAGGATCATGAATCTGATTTTCCTGTCTGTGGGGGTCAGCCTGAATCTCTTAATCATATCGGTGATCGCTTTCAAATCCTCCATGAGAACGTCCATAAATCTGTATATCGTTAGCTTCGCTTGCTCGAATATGGTGATCCTGATCGAACCACTTGAGGAAATGCTTCGATGGTTCTTCAACGTGAACATGAAATTAAATATGGACTACGTCTGTATGATCAGTTTCGACGTTTCCGTCATCACGATCGCGATCCTGAAGTTCATGCTGTACACCAACATCTTCCAAGAGCAGATATCCTTCGGGCGAACGTTGCTCAAGAGGTTCACCAGTATAAAAGGGATCTTGTTGATTTGGTGCTCGTGTATCATATCGCTGGCTATCGGTCTCCATATATACGATTTTTTCGAAGGTGACATGGCGGATATTTACGTGTGGAACACGATTATGTTCATCGCCATGCCGTTCATTATATTCGTGGCAATCGATAGTTTGATACTTTACGAACTGGTGATATTGAAAATGATCGAGGGATCGTGGCGAAAGAAATACTTGAGGCACTATGTGATGCTGGGTGAGTAACTTGCGTGTTTTGTGACTTGATTAATTGAGAAGGTGAGAAAAGTTCAAGTTTCTTGATAAATAAAACGTGAAAGCTACAGATTACGAATGAGTATTCTTCTTAATACGAGTATTATAGAGAAATCTTTTCAGTGATCACAGCAATCGCTTTTTTCTTGATTCGAACGCCATACAGACTGGCTAGAGCGATTAATTTCATAGAGCCTAAGGCGTTGTGCTGTACAGACAGCAGGAGAGAGGTGCTCTATTTCATGGCCAAGACATTCCCAATTATTTCCTCGATCATTTACATTTCATCATCGGCTGAATTTCAGAAAGCCTTTCAGGTTTGTATTTAATATACTCTACATTGACTTGTCAAATAGGTGTAATGAAAAATTCTTTAATATCTCTGAATTGCAGGAAATATTAAATTTTCAGTGCAGAAGATCTACCAAAGAAACTAACAACGATACAATCATCTAATGTGAGAATAATTTAACGTGAGAAATTAATAAACAACACTAATACTTTGGATTCTTTTGCAACGTGAAAGTATTTGATAAAACGATCGAAACAATAAGAGTTCATTCTTCGACCTAACAATTGTAACACGAAATCCTCGAAAATAGAAACGTCACGTTTCATATTTTCCGTTCGGTCTGACAAGTGACAGCACCACAGCAAAAATGTATTTATAGCAGGCAGTACGTCATCATTCGTACATGAATTACTCAAAACCTCGAAGTGCTGCTATCAAACGTGAAAGACGTGCTTTGTGAATGAAGTTAAACATAAAACACATGCGGCAAGATGTTGATGCTCATAACGTGGTTGGAATAAGTGTGCCACAAACTCTCGAGACCAAGTTGCACGTAATAAAAACACGTATCAGGAACAAATTAAAAAAGAAAACGAAAGAACAACCGATAAACACACGACCCGCAAAGCAATCGCGAACTGAAACCAGAGTCGCCGATTCGAGGGAACATTTTTCCGGCTATTACGTAGGAGAGAAGCGAAGGTACACACGAAATTTGCAACAGACATTGTGAAAAGGGGGAGGGGAGAGACAAGAGAAGCTGGGTGTCGTACTCGCAAAGTCGCGAATTCATTGCACTCTCTGTATGCAAATTCGCTTCCCTTTGGGCACGTCTGTCGAGTGCATAAGTCGATGGTGAACTGTGCTTACGGCGCGAGCACGCGTGTGTTCGGTCGAACGACTACGAGCACTTTGTATCTGTCAGACCGTCCGGGGAAAAATATCCGCGAGCACACCAGCCATAATCTCCTTGGCTAGCGCACACCGCGTTCGAAACGATTCGATTGTTCAGCAGTTACGATAGCGACACACGCCGAAACTTGCAAGCTGTTCGTTTAAACATCGGCTCGCGAGGAGTGAGAAGTGTTGCTGCACACTCCACGCTGCGCTGAACATTCACAGTGAACTTTTGTGTTTCAAGATTGTACGATGAGTCACTACAAGTGGTCAGTCTTTACGCTAGCGAGACTAGGAGAAACGGGTGGTGAAAAGGTTTGGAAGATTTGGACGTCGTTTATACGCGTTTTTTTTTTGCGTGGAAGGGTTGTTCGATTTAACCCTTTCGCGACTAAATTTTTTTTTTATTTTTTCATCTGTCTATCGATCATGGTCTTTGTAGTGGATACTGAATTTAGATCAATTTTTGGTGGAGTACTCGAGTACTCTGCTGATCACGAAAGGGTTAAATACAGCTGAGATAGATTTCGAGTAGAATCTCTCCCTCTAGAGACTTTTTCTGTAATATAGAGCTTGATCAAAATGAAATTTTCAAGTGACTCACTTTACACATTCTTCCACGTCACTTTTGCTAGGAAAGAAAAATTTGCAGACACAGAGTAAATCCACGCTAAAAGCAAAATCGACAGTGTTCCTCTATTTTCGTTATCTACGTAACATCGTGGCCTCCTAAGATCCTCTCAAGGAATCCATCGAAGAAAAAACAAGCAGTTTCTCTGTAAGCTTAACCAGCTGCAAAGGAACATACCTCGAAAAGAAGCCACGTTACCAACAAGAAACATACAGCTAAACAATTTCATCCCGATGAAAAAGCACGTTCCATGAAAATCTCGAGACCCCCGCGATATCCTCGAACCGTTTTCTCGCTCGTTACTCGTGCCGGGTAAAGAGAAAAGTTTACTTCCCGTAACCAGGTACATCGTACACTATTCTTAAATTCAATTAAGCGGAACGCGGTAAGCCTCTATGAAAACAGGACGTCGTTTGTCAAATCGAGGATAAATCCGATTTCATAGCCACAGGATTCACCATCTCTTTCTCTTTCTATTCCTCCAGACGATTACGAATTCCTCTCACAACGCGTTTCCTATTCCCGGCTTTAGCGATTCTGCAGCAGCATCGGGACAAGGACAGTCGGTAATGCACGTGTGTGTGTGTGTGTGTGTGGAAAGGCCGCGAAAGGAGGCACCGACGAAGGAAGATGCACCGTACGTGTCGCTGAAGAAAAAGAAGACCTCGAAGAAACAGGAAATCAGTGAAGCAGAAAGCCATCCTACCAGACGGGACTTCCGGCACGGTCTTTCGGTCAACTTGACGCTCTTGCGCTGATCGACATTGCGCCAATCTTGGCCCTTTTGTTTGTACGGAAAAAAGTGTACCTTCCTATCGAGATAAATATCCTTACTTAAATATAAAATTAGGGGAAAAATCGTCCGATAGAGAAAAATGGTTAATATCCAATTTTAAAGGGGTGAGTGAAAATGGTACTAAAGATTTATCTTCTGTTTGCACTGAAAAGGTGTACCTTCTTAAGGAGATAAGTATCTTTACCTAAACATAAAATTAGGAAAAGATTTGTCCAATAGAGGGTTAGTGTCTAAATTTAAAAGGGGGAGGGAAAATGGTACCGAGGATTTTTAATTTTTTGTTTACACGGAAAAAAGCGTACCTTTACTTAACTTAAATATAAAATGAAGAAAAGGATTTAGCACCGGCTCATGCGAGATAAGTGAAAATGGTGCCGTGGATTTATCGGGGGAAAATCCATTAGTCAACGAAAACGAACAAAATACACAGAGGTGTGTACAACGACTGGTGAACAAAGCAGTTTGTTCCCTCGGCGTTCAATTGATAAACGTGTCCCGAAAGAATAGTATTGCAGAAGCGCCGAAAAAATTTGCTTATGAATAGGGCGTTTCACTCCGTTCGATTGTTCCCCGTCCTCTCGATTTGCGAACCACGCGGTAGAAGTTAGGGCGAAACTTGTTATTTTTCTATCTTCGCGTAAGAGAGAAGAAAAATACACAAATATTACACTTGGAGCTAGCAGGAGAAAAAAAAATCACCGTTGAAGAAGCTACTATTAGCCGGTAATTTCTTCAGGTGCTGTACAATCTCACGTATGATATATTTGTGAACATCGTACAAAGCGCATAATAAGAGAAGGCAAGAGAGAGAGAGAGAGTTCTCCGTAACGTGAGATACTCGACACAAAGAAAGTTACACTTGGCAATATAGGCCAGTGTTTAACTTTCCCCGCGGCTCTGAGCCATTTACCGGCAACATTCGAAATTTTAGCGCGAACCCTTCAGCTCTGCACACCAGCTGCACTTGAATATTCATGGAAATTGAATGACAAATTCGCTCGCTTCCAAGTACGAAATGGTAATATCGATTCTTACCTTCATTCTGTCCTAAATGTACATCATTTTTTGACAGATTTTCATTGAAGAAAGACACGAGGTATGTTAAAATGTAAATTTCTAATTTGTTCGATAGAAAAATGATCGATAAAACACTTGTAATCCTTTCTTTCCCTTTAATATTTTCATCAACTCATCTGAGAATCTCTATATTTTTCTAACACAACTGTGCAACATTCACGTACGATTTTTCTCCATTCAACAATCAGCAAAATATTATTTTTCACGATGTAGATAAATTTACAAAATCTCTAATTCATTCCACGAAAAATAAAAAAAAAGGAACACTTGTTTCTCTCCTCTTCGATCTCCACGTCAATTCACCAAAAAATCTCCTCAGTGTTAAATTAAATATTTTTCTAACATAATTGAGCAACGGTCACCTACAATTCCTCCGCAAAATCTTATTTTCCACGATGCAGACAGATCTATGAAACATTCGAATCGTAAAGTTCGCTTACTTCCTACGCTGAAAATTCGAACAACGAATGCAGGAAAATTAACACAGCCTCGCGACATACTGCGGCAAATATTACACAAAACTGATCTTTGCATAAGCGACAGAACCACGCGTAGAAGCATGGGAAAGAAGCAACACCGTGTTTTACGCACAGAAGGCGACTGGCAGAAAACAAATGGCATATCGATGCGGTAGCAACGCGAGTTAAACGCGTTCCGCCGTTAACGTGTGAATGAAACGGCCGCGAGAGTCAGTGAAACGCGTATTATGCACGCATAGAAACTTCATTCATGGCCTTCGACGGAAAAAGCATCGCTACCGTGTCGATTACAATCGCACGGAAAAAGAGCCGGGGACCCCTAAAGGGGGATCGGAACACTCGGATCTTTGTCGAACTTTTTTTGCACCGCGAGAAAGTTGAAAAGTTACACGAGACTAAATACGCTCTCGCCGAAGGAAACGGTATCGCGCAAACTTATTTTCCATCCCACGTTTTATTTCCGGCGCGAATCGAGCGCGCGCCTATTTTCCCGCACCGTGTAAACTTTCGCGAACTTCTCTTTTCGTTTCCTCCCTCGCTTAATTTCGTCGCTAATTTTAAAAATACGCGATTTCTTCTGAGAGGAACATTGTCTCTTTCAGCTTTCAGTCACTTCTGAGAGAGTGAAATTTTCTTCGATTCTTTTTGATTCGTTTTGCGCGCGAAATTTGAAAATAAGCTTTTGCGCGCGAAATTTGAAGATAAGCGTTTGCACACGTGGAAAAGATGGCGAAAGAAACGCCGTAGAATGAAGTGAAATAAAGCATTCGATGTAACTGTACTTGGTAGAGTGTATAATTCATTTGGGAAAATTCGTCGAATTCCTCTGATACAATATAAACCATCGCGAAGAAATTAGTAAATGTATGATCGAGATGTGAAAGAAGAATTGATATTTTATTGGACAAAGGATATTGTTTTATGTCGGACAATTTTTGCACGAGAGATCGTGGCTTGTATCAAATATGTCGGACATAAATCCACCGTGAACATCCTTGTACCGTAATTTAACCCACCCTTTGTTTGGATGCTGGCGTGGTTAAACAGGCATACTTCGACGCGTTCGGAGTTCAGGAGAAAATATTTTTTCAAGTGCGAGTACTTAACGCCACTCGAAATCACCGACAGACATTACCAAATTATTCGACTAGTCCACAAACACCTCGTAAATTGCACTGAAAAATTTCGTTTCATTCGATCCATCATTTTTCTAACTTCTTTTGAATTATATTTCTCAAAAGAGGACAATTTTTTAACATAGAATTCAATTTCCACCATTTTCCT